CCACAGAAGAAACATTTCAGGTTAATGACACAGGGAAGGATTTTATGGATTTGATGCCAATAGCTCAGGAAAGAGAAATGAGATGGCCTCATTTCTCTAAGTCAGAGAGGAATGAGCATCTGAGGAACCAGAAATTGATTTGATCAACCATTCACAGTTTCACTAGGCCTAATATTCACAGTTTTGTGCTTTCAGCTGACTACTACATGGTCATATTTCACTTCAAGAATCAGTAGGTTAGGAGTCCAGTGAGCTTTGTGCAAGGGCGAGCCAGCCAGATTTAGTGCTGGGGAATGAGGTTATCCTGACCCCAAGCACAGACAATTGGGAAAGCCCACACCAGTATCAATGGGGGTGGAGGTGAAGAAGGTAGCCAAACCTGCCCATAGCTAATAGGCTGCAATGATAAAGAAAGGTCACAGGGTCCCTGACTTGGCAGAAACAGTAGTGGCTCAAGCTGGAGCAGAAGTTGGTTACTAGCTGATGCTACCATGGTCAAATAAGCACATGCTCTCTTCCACAAAGGTTGTTGAACTTTACTTGTCATTAAGTTGGTAATGATTTTTCCGTCTGTTTTCATTAAGGAGATTGGTCAGTATTTTTCTTTCTTGTTTGGATCCTTTTCTGGTTTTGGAATGAAGATAATGCTAGCTTCCAGGTATGACTTGGGAATATTCCTTCACTTTAAATTTTATTGAAGACTTTAAAGAGGGTTGAAGTTATATCTTCCCTAATGTTCTTGTAAAATTCAGCAGTGAATCTACTTAGACCTGAGCTTCTCAGTATATTTTATTACTGACCTCATTTCAATGTCTTTGTATTAAATATTTCATGGATTTTATGTTTTCTTGGTTCAATTTTGTTAATTCTAGGAATCCATTAATTTCTTTTGAATTCTCCAATTTAGTGGACTAAAAGTTCTCAAAGTAGTTACATATTATCTTCTGCATTTCAGTGCTGTCTGCTATTATTTTGTCTTTTATGTAATAACTTCATATATTTGGATCTTTTATTTCTCTTTTTCTGGGGGCAGGGGATTTGCTAAGGGATTTTCTATGTAGTTTATGCTTTCAAAGAACCAGATCTTTGATTCATTGACTTTTGTGTATTGCCTTTCAGTCTCAATTTAATTAATTTCTGTTCTGAATTTTATAATTTCCTTCCTTGTATTAGATTTGGATTTAGATTGTTCCTGTTTATCTAGAACCTTAGGGTGCATTGTGGCGTTATTTCTTTGGGCTTGCTCTGTTTTCATAATTTGGGGATTCTCAGCTATAACCCATGCCCTTAGGATTGCTTTCATTGTGTCCCATGGAATCCAGTATGTTGTATTGACATTATTATTTGATTCCAGGAACAATGTAATTCCTTGATTTCTTCTAAGATCCATTGATTTTTCAAGAGGATATTGTTTAATTTCCATGTGATTTCATAATGTCTGTGGTTTCTTTTGCTATTGACTTCTAGTTTCAATTCACTATGACCTGTGCACCAGATAATTTCAATTTTTTTATTTATTTCAGCTAGCTTTATGAGCTAGATGTAGGATACTCTGGAGAATATCCCATGTGCTGTGGAGATGAATGTGAATTCTGTTGTTATTAGGTGAAATACTACATAGATATATATTAATTAAGTGCATTTGTACAAAGATTTTAACTCAGATTTTTCAGTTTTTGTCTAGCTAATCTGTTTACCTGTGACACTGGGATATTCCAGACCCCAGGTTAATAGTGTTGGTGTTTATTTGTTTTTTTACATCCACCATTGTTTTTTTATGAATTGACTTTGCTAGTATTTGGTGCATACATGTTTATAATTGTTAACACTTCTTGTTGAATCGTTACTTCAACTAATGTGTACTGACTTTGCCTATTTCTGTTAGTTTGTTATATGTGTGTCTCAAACATTTCAGAGGGATGTTCATTCACTAATATTACATGAAAATCACACTTGTAAAACAAAGGCTTTCAAATGCTAAAATCTTTTAAAACAAATTCTGACTTGAAAGGGGTGATAAAAGATGTATTTCCCACCAGTGCTTTGTACTGCCTGTGTTATATAAGCCCTGAATTATTTTCCTATTGTGTTTTAATGAAATACCACAAACTGGTTGCTTACATGAGAAAATTATATTCTCTGACACTATTGGAATGTAGGTATTCGAAATTAGTTTTTCACTAGACCTGTGCTTTGAGATTCTGCTTATAATCTGATCATGTTTGTTCTTTGCTTTAAATTGGAACAATCAATCATTATCAAGTTATGGTGCACAGTGGGATCTCCTCCAGTGTCTACCATTGTTATCATATGTTATTTTTCCTCTCATTTTCAAAACCCCAGTCAGGTTGTAATGGAGGGGCTTCCCTCAAGGGGCAGGTTAAGGTTAACATTATGGTCTCCAACAAGTGATCCTCCTGCCTCAGCAGTGCAGGTATCTGTAAATGAAGGCTTGCATGTCCAGACATTGATGAACATATACTTTATGAGCAGCAAGAACCAAAGTCTGAATTTGCACCTTGGCAGAGAAGCGAGCCCCTCTGCTTTTCAGAACAGTCTGAAAGTACAGGGAGTGGGGTGGGGAGGTGCCAATCTCAGAGGATGATTTGGGAATTTGGAACTGAGGCATCTGGAATTGTGGACAGGACCGGATTTCAGTTCTTCTTCCATGGTCAACTCTGCTGGTTTTGACTCAAGCAGAGAAAGGTGGATGGAGATGAGTTCTTCACAATGAATTCTCATGTACAAAGGAACCTAGACTGTTTCCTAAAATGACCCTTACTGCCAACAGATGGAGAAGGCTGTTCTCCTGGCCTGACTCATATAATGTGGCCAAGATGTGTTCAAATATCTTATCTCCTGGTAACATTTTCTAGGACTCTCATGATTAGTATGCCATAGTCAAACACACATTTGGCTTTGTAAAATGCACACTGATTGGTTCCAAGCCATATTAAAAATGTATTGAACAGAGATATGAATTCCCTTTGCCTTTTGTTCCTTAGATCAAATATGATGAGATGAACACAATTAAATATTTAATTTAATGCAAACTGTAGGCTTAACATTGACAAAGAGAAAACGAAGATGAGGAAGAGACTGAAAGATAAATTTCTGAGTAATGTGACATTTATTTCCCACAGATGAGTCAGTCAGACCAGGACTTAGGGTGAGGGCTCTGCAGGGTTTAGCAGAGAATTAGGAAAATTGTATTCTATAGGTTTAGGGCAAAGAGTGCAGTGAGCAATTATTTTTAATTTTAAATTTATTAAAGTTTTGATAGAATACAATTTAAAGTTTTAAAACCTATATAAAATTTAAAATTCTCCACTTTTTAAAAAATTTATGAGTTCACTTTCCCTCCTTCCATTCATTTCTACTTGAACTCCTCCCATTATTTTGCCCTCAACACTCTTCTCTCCATGTACCCATCCTTCAGTTCTCCAGTCCACTTCTCCATCCAGTTCTCTCCTTCAATTAAGAAACATATTACACGTATAAACTTAAAAATTCAACAAGGATGACACTACAAAGAAATAACATTTGCTACTTCATTTAAAATAGATGCAAACATATTAAATTCAAACATGCCCAAAATAGTCTTATAAAATATCAGCACATCATGAAAAATTGTTTTTTCCCAATAATAAGTACAATGGATCCTTGACTTATGAACTCAATTGGTTCTGGAGAATCTGTTGTAACTAAGTCAGTACAGCTGAGATCTGAATGTTTAACTGCATACACAAGATATTGAGAGGCAGATGAATCTTCCATTAATCTAATTAAACCAAGTTGTTTGTATGTCAGGCTGGTCATAACTTGGAGGCCCACTGTATTACACACTATTAATAAAATTTCTGATCTTTATAATTGTTGCAAAATTTATAAATTTAATTCATAAATTTGAGCATATATTGAGTAAAATGTCAAAAAAATAGAAATATATAAACCAATTTCTTTATGTTCTAAAGTATAGCCTCAACAATAATAAACATATATTATTTAATGTACAATCCTTGGATTGTTCACTGAAAAGTATAAGTAAGAGAAACAAGCCTCTGGTCATTTTTGAGGTAATGCACTATGTTACTAATGTAAAGAAAAGAAGAAAGAAACTACAAAAATGGAACAAAAAGGAAAAATGTATGATTATCAGATCACATGCATTAAAAATCCAAGGGATTCCACAAACACATGTATAGAGCAAAAAAATTTGGTGATTTAATTCAACAAATAACAGTTACCTTATAAAATATTGTGTACCTTAAATATGGTAGATAAAACTATGTTTGCCTTTTCAACAAATACTAAAAATATTCAGGAATAAATATGAGAAAATTATAGCATAAAATATATATGTGCATATATAATAAATTCAAGACAAATATAGACATAGAAACACATGGCTTACATTAGAAAAGAATGTTTAAACAAGATCAATAGTAATATTTAATCAACTACTATTGTTAAAACTCACTATAGAACACTAATTATCCCTTCATTTAACACATGAATTCAATTCAGTGAGATTGTAATTCAAGAGTATTTGTTATCACATTGGGCAGCAAATTTTAGGATTCTAAAGGCAAGAAAATGGACTTTCTGAAAAAATATCTTCAGAAATATTGACCAGCAAGGATTAGCAAGGAAATATGATAGCATTTATCAAAATAAACTATAATCAGCATATTTAATGAATAGTTACTCTTGAAGGGAAAAATTTAATGAAACACATGAGGAATTCTGAATACAGTGGCCTACAGACAAAAGTTACCATATTAACAATGAGTACAAATGAGAAGGTCAAGTGGTCCACAAGCTAAAATAAGTAATCAATCAAACTTAAGCACAAATATAAGGATTTACTACTGATTTTATGAAACAAAAAATATGTTAGACTAAAATTCGAAGTGAAAAGGTAATAGTTACAAAGGTTAGCAACTTTAAAACTATTGTGGAAAGAAATAAATCCATTGATAATTGAAGTAAATCTCATGCTACAATGTAAGTAACTGAAAAAAATGGCATATATTTGCTCCAGAGCCAATATGAATTTTAGTAAAAATACATTTTTTTAACTTAAAAGGTTTCTTTCTGTCAGCATGTATTGTATGTCTGAACCCATGTAGAGAATTCTTATCTGGTCTTAACAAAATAATGTAGCACTTGGGGGCAAAGATGCAACCCAGCAGCCCTGCTCTGGAGACCAAGATGGAGAAGACCTCCATGGCCACCAGGACCTTCCCCTTGGTGCTATGATACACAGAGAGGAAGGTGACTCACACACTGCAGAACACCAGCATGCTGAAGGTCAGGAACTTGGCTTCATTGAAGGTGTCCAGGAGGTTTCTGGACAGGAAAGCCACGGTGAAGCTCACCAGGGCCAGAGAGACCAGGTATCCCAAGACACAGTAGAAGGCAGTGAGTGAGCCCTCGTTGCACACAATGATGATGTGACCATGTTCAGAGTATGCATCTGTGTCAATGTAGGGTGGATTTGTGCCCATCCAGACTCCACAAAGAGTGAGTTGGATGGGGGAGCAAATGGGGATGATGTAGTTAGTTGCCCCTGATAGCAGCAACTGCCTCATTCTTCTGCCTGGAGCAGTGGCCTTAAAGGCCAGTACCACAGTGATAGTTTTGGCCAAGATGGTGGAAAACAGCCACAGTGAACACAACTCCAAATGTGGTCTGCTGGAGGGTGTAGGTGGCTGTGATGGGACGGCCAATGAAGAGTAAGGAGCAGAGGAAACAGAAGATGAGAGAGAAAAGGAGGGTGTAACTGAGAGCCAGGTTGTTGGCCTTGACAGTGGGAGGGTCTTTGTGTTTCACAAAGAGCCCAAGAACAGCAGCTGTGAGGACATTGAGACTCAGGGTGGTGCGAGCCAGTATCTTCCCCATGGGGTCTTCATGAGACAGGAATGTCATAGATTTTTGCAGGCAGTAGTTTTGCTGCATTGTGGCATACTGATCATCAGGACACTTCACACACTGCTCCATATCTATGGAGAAGGTCAAATTGTCATTAGCTGAAGTTCATTTATTCTCCTCATTAAATAATTCATTCACACAAAAGGGGTAGGCGAACAAGGGAGGGGGATGGCAGAAAGAATGGAAGGGAAAGGAAAATATGGAAACAATGTTTTTGCAAATAAAGAGGGGGAAAGAAAACTAAAGGGAGGAAAGGAAAATGGTTAAAAACAAGAATCAAAATATATCATATACAGGTACAAATTCCTTATAAAGTATGTGATCACTATGTGTACCTAAAAGGTACACAGGAAAAAGATCCAACAGAAATCCAGAGGATCATCAATACCTACTTCAAGAACCTCTACTCCAATAAAATGGAAAACACAGAAGAAATGGGCAGATTCCTAGATACATACGAATTCCCAAAGTTAAATGAAGAAGATATAGAAATTCTAAACATACCAATTACA